TGTCTGGCTTCTTTCACTCATTATAATGTACCTGAGATTCATCCATGTTGTGTATATCAGTAATTTGTTACATTTCTGGTTAGTATGTCCTCATATGAATATACAGTTGACTGTCATTATTTGTGGTATTTATGTCCTATAAAGTCACTGAGAACACCTAATTTGTGATTACTGAAACATTGCTCCTAGGAGAAATACAGGAATAGGTTCCTGTATCCCCTGGTCACAGCATTTTTGCCAACTGATCAATACATAACTGTATTTTATGTGTGTTTTATTTTTAAAGACAACTTAATAAATATTGTTGATTCATTAACATTAAACTCATGGACAACAGCATTATAACTTATACCTGAATGAAACTTATCTAACACATGTATTTTCTTTGTAAAGCACATCACAGGCTTCTTGCACTTGGGAACACTTCAACAAGACAATGCTTCAGCACTATTCTTTGGGACAATTTTAAACAGCAAAATCACTGACAAAAAGCACAAAAATACAAAGAAAAAGTGGTACTGAAAATGTGAAAAGAATACTTGTATAGATGACAGAAACAAGAAGGCAGAGCATTGCCTTGTTTGAGCTTAGCTGAGGACATGTGCACCAGGTAACTCAAAACTTCCACACATACAAATACCAGCAAACAACCTTGAAAGAATGGCAAGTCTTGATTTTGAGGTTACAAATAAATTTTATAGAAGAGGTGAATTTGTAAACATGGAGTCCATGACTAATGAGGCTTAGTCATACCACTGTCTTGTTGATGGATATTTGTTCTGTGTCCTCATTAGGTACAATGAATTAAAGTGCTATGAAGTTTCTAATAGAAGTCTTTGTGGGGCCATCTGCTTTCATATTTCTTAGGCTAAAACCTAAAAGTAGAATTGCTAGATCATAGGGTAGGTGTATCCTGAACTTTAAAGAAATTGACAAAACTCTTTCTAACTGGATTTTACTAATTCATACTCCTTCCTACTTCTGAATTAGGCCATCTGCTTTCATTTTTCTTAGGCTAAAACCTAAAAGTAGAATTGCTAGATCATAGGGTAGGTGTATCCTGAACTTTAAATTGACAAAACTCTTTCTAACTGGATTTTACTAATTCATACTCCTTCCTACTTCTGAATTATCTACTGGGCCAATGTGGCCTTGCACAACACTTGGAGAATACCTAAGGAAACTGAACCATGCTCTGAGTTAGGGAAGTTAGTTCTGCAATAAGTGTTCTCAGAGAAAGGTTTCATCCTCTTTGGATTTCCTCATTTTTCCAGCAATTTCTCTTCAAATTACTCTGTAATCACGTGACCCACCATAGCTGCCTAGGCACAGGTTCTGCACAGTTTCAATGGGGATGTGTCCTTAGTTCACAGGATGATTATTGACATCTAGTTTCATTTCTAGCTAGGGTCTATACAGGGCTAACACTGAAACATTTTGCCAAGAGGCTCTGGGGCTAGTTTCAATAAAATCTCATTTAAAGTGGTTATGAATTAATGCAAATTTTGGAGGGTGACGTGAAAACAGCTAATTAATTAATGCAATTCTTTTAAAAGATATTTTTGTACAAATGTACAGACTTACCTATAAAAATATTAGCTACAGCATTATTTAAAGAAGAAAAATGGAAAAAATGAAATGCTTATCACCAGTATCTCATAAAGTAAATGATTGGTATGTTCATAGAGTAAATATTTATTAAGCAATCACTTAAAATGTGATTGATTATAATTGCTAATATGGAAAGGTTTAATACACACAGATGTACATGTACAGACACATTCTTTCACGCACATATGTTTATATACATTATATACATATATGCATGTAAAGGTAGGTAGAAGGACAATATGTTTACTGAAATGTTACTTACTTTTAAACATCATGTAGAGATATTAATATAAGCACACAGAAAATTTCTGTGTAAGTGCACTAGAAACTTATACTATTTAGCTCTAGAAGATAGATCAGAAGCATCAAGCAGAGGGTCCATTTGCATTTTGCTTTACATCATTCCAGAATATTTGATATTTAGAATATGACCTGTGCTAATTTCATGATAATTGACTGTTGTTTTACAAAATGTAAATATAAATAATTTATATATAATTCTGCCATTTTATTCAGCATCCCAGCCATCCTCACTTTTATATAGTACTTTTTGTCACTCCTAAATATTGTTTTTTCACCCTTTACCACTCAGTTCAAGAAGCTCAGAAGGGCTCAGCATTCGAAGACTTGCAAGGGAAGTGTGTGGCTGAACGGCTGCAGCTAGAGAATGGGCTGCAGCATTACTGGACGGTGAGGTTGGATCGGGTGGCAGATCTTCTCTGTTTCTCATTTACCAGTGTTCCCATAGCTATAGGCAGAGGGGATCTGACAGAAGGAGTGCAAAGATCATCTGGGAAGATGAGCATCATAAGAGCTTGGAGATGAAGAGACATTTTTACAGAAATCCACTTGGTGGCCTGAAGGTTTTTGATATGTGTCTTGGGGCCACTAGTGGGGTCATCAGCTTGGGGGTGGCTGATGCTCTGTGGGGCTAAATGGAATCAGGGATTGGCACAGAGCAGATCAGGGCCTAACTAGTTACAACTTAGGTTGTTGGGTGATAACTTGGAGCATGAAAAGGAGACAACCTGGGTGTTGAGAAGTTGCTGACAAGGGAGATTTCAAGTTTGCCCATTAAACAACTTTTCAGTGTTCTGGAGCTTGATTAGCCTCGGGAGGGAAGAGTGAAAGTTTTCTTTCGCTTTTCCATGATAACATCCCTAGTGTGCCTCTGAACTTGTACAAATTGTTCCTCAGTGAATAGCTATCCTCTGAGACAACAAATAAGGGAGAGATGGAAGGAAGCAGAGAGAATTAGCGATGCGGAGACTGCTGGACTCCCCGCAACACTAGCGTTTCTGGACTTTTCCCTATGGTTTCTCTGTGTGGACAGTGTTCCACACTAAGAGTGGAGAAGGGAGCAGCTGCCCCTGTCTCCTAAGCAAGCTCTGTACTAGCCAGGCAAGTGACAGCCTGGGTTGATCCCTGGAGACCAGTGGACCATTCTGGGCCTGTCCCCTTCTCTGGATGTGAGTGTCTTCCAGGGTTCCTCTCTGTGAAATAGGGATTAAGAAAATATCCTGAGCTTGGCTGTCTTCTAGAACAAGGTTAGCTAGGACCTGAGAAGTGGACCAGGGGATCTGCAGAATACATAAGCTTTACGTCCAGGCCTCCCTCCACAGCACAGAGCAGATTAATCCTTTTTCTACCCAGTGCTGGTGATAGGCAAAGCTCTCTGCCTTTATCTAAGAGCCTGCCTTCTTGTTTTTCCCTATTTCTTCCTCATAGCTACCTGCCATTTTTAAGGGAATCTCCAGGAAAAGAGACAGCGGTTTGGGAAATGCTTTAGAGAAGGGTGAGCTGGTAAGGTTGAGTAGTTTTAGTTCATTCGTTGAATTTTTCTTTAATCTATTCATTTCATGTTTATTTAATTTCTAGAGTGCTTATATTCTTGGTCTCTATTCTTGGCACTGGTGATACAAGAAATATAAATTTAAAAAGAAAAAGAGAGTACCTACCTTTGAGATAATTAATTAAATGCAGGATTTTGATGATGAATTAATAAACAAGTAAAAGTATAAAATGACTTGAGATATTCATGAGAGCCAATAGTGAGAAAAATACAACCACATAAAGGTTAGAGGGTGAAGGTCTGTATGTGTTGTTTTAGACAGGGTAGTGGGAAAGGGCCCACGAACAGGAGACATTTGAGCATGGACCCAAGTGTGGTAAGTGAAGGAGCCCAGGCATCCTTAGGAGCTCAGTGTAATCTATTTTGGTGTGTCCTGACACTTTTCCTTACCCCAGAACTCTGAAAAAAATAGGCGGTCCTAGAGGAGCGGGTCTGCTCTGTGAATTTTCCAAACTGTTTCTATGGGATTGAGACGATGGCAGATTGTGTACAGAGACAGACTGCCCCTCTGGAGGTCTTTTCTTTCTACTGGAACAAGGGTGTTGAGAACTGGGGAATGTAGAGGAGATGCTGCCTTTAAACCACAGCTGTTTTCTTGTCTCCTGGCCCCAGGGTGGAGACTGTGCAGGACAGATGGGAGTTGGACATTAAAGTTCCAGCCTCTTCACTCCTTTTGGGCTCTTCCTCTCCTGTGTCATCTGGTGACAAAAAGAATCAAAATCTCAGAGCTAGGGGTCACTAACTGAGAGCTAGTCAGACTCTCCCTGCATGGAGGAAGACACATTCACTGAGATGGGGGGTGGGCTTTCATCACAAAAATAAAGAGGAAGAATTGGATAATGTACTCCAGGGAGCAGGCTCCTACAAGTCAGAGAAAGACTTAATGCTCTTACCTTAATAGCTCTTACCTCATGACAATGTCTTGGATAGACTCCACTTCCCAACAAAATCCCCAAAATGATAAATAGAACTAAAGTAAAAACTTTTAAATTAACAAAGTGCAAATGGGGCTAAATTTAGAGGACACACACACAAAAAGAGTAACCATGTCTTTGTGGAATTGGCTAGAAATACTTATGTTTGTTGAAATGCAGCAGGACATTGCAGGATGGGAATGTAATAGGAAGAGGAGAAAGTTTAATTCCACTCAAGATGGAAGGCGTGGTGCTATAAATGAGCAGGTTGTGATCACAGAAGTGGGCAGGGTGGCCAGTCAGAGCAGAGTTGGAGGCAGGATGTCCAGTGCACTGAGAGGCAAGGGTGCATTCTGTGAGAGGGGCATTTCATGTTTATTGTGTGGTGTTGGTAACTGGTACTCATCTTCTTGTACTTACACATTTATCTTCACATATAATATGTATTTTTTACAAAATGTTTAACATCAACCTTGTATAGAAAATAGTAGAGTTGTAAAGTCAAAGAGCAGGAGGGGAATGTTTCTTCAACTGAGAGATGTCATTAATCCTTTTGATATTAAAAGCAGTGTTGTCTCCCTTTTGCTGCCTACATATCACAAGGAACAAGGGCTCAGAACTAAATGTTGGAGAATCAATCTAGTGCCACTGAATTTTATCTCCTTGGCTTCCCTGGCTCCGAAGAACTACACCATGTCCTTTTTGCTATCTTCTTCTTCCTCTACTTAGTGACATTAATGGGAAACACAGTCATCATCATGATTGTCTCTGTTGATAAACGTCTGCGGTCCCCCATGTATTTCTTCCTTGGACACCTTTCTGTCCTGGAGATCCTGGTCACAACCATAACTGTCCCCATGATGCTTTGGGGATTGCTGCTCCCTGGGATGCAGACAATATCTTTGAGTACGTGCATTGCCCAGCTCTTCCTGTACCTCGCTGTGGGGACGACAGAGTTTGCATTACTTGGAGCGATGGCTGTGGACCGTTATGTGGCCATCTGTAACCCTTTAAGATACGACATCATTATGAACAACCGCACCTGCAACTTGGTAGTAATCGTGTCATGGGTGTTTGGGTTCCTTTTTCAGATTTGGCCAGTTTACGCCACATTTCAGCTCACTTACTGCAAATCAAATGTTGTAGACAATTTTTTCTGTGACCGAGGGCAATTGCTCAAACTATCCTGCAATGATACTCTTTTCACAGAGTTTATCCTCTTCTTAATGGCTGTTTTTGTTCTCTTTGGTTCTTTGATCCCTACCATTGTCTCCTACACCTACATCATCTCCACCATCCTCAGGATCCCCGCGGCCTCTGGCCGGAGGAAAGCCTTCTCCACCTGCGCCTCCCACTGCACCTGTGTCGTGATCGGCTACGGCAGCTGCTTGTTCCTCTACGTGAGACCCAAGCAAACGCAGGCAGCCGAGTACAACAGGGCAGTGTCCCTGATGGTTTCTGTAGTGACCCCTTTTCTGAACCCTTTCATCTTCACCCTCCTGAATGACAAAGTTATAGAGGCCCTTCGGGATGGAGTGAAACGCTGCTGTCAGTTATTCAGAAACTAGCCTATTCTATGACTGGAATAATCCAGAAAGGACTTGCTCATCTTTGAGCTGCCTCATAAACATTATCATCATCAAATAATCTGTGTTCAACCAAAAGACTTGGAGTTATGGCCACGGTTTCTAACATGGTTGTTACTCAAAATTTACTTTATCGTTTTTAAGATATATATATATATATATATATATATACACACACACACACACCCTTCTCAAGTTATGGTACATTTCACAATAAAACCTTAAAAGTTAAATATAAAAATAATAGTGGAGTTATGGCCACGGTTTCTAACATGGTTGTTACTCAAAATTTACTTTATCGTTTTTAAGATATATATATACCCTTCTCAAGTTATGGTACATTTCACAATAAAACCTTAAAAGTTAAATATAAAAATAATATGTGTGATATTTAGATTTCTGTACAGAAAAAGCAAGGAAAATTATTCTCTGACTGCAGTATGGAATAACTACTTGATCTTAGGTTCCTGAATCATCTTCCTGTAAATTGTCCTGTGCTTTCAGTCATCTAGCTGTGTCATCTTCTTGTGGCTTTTCTGGCTCAAGCACCTTCTCTTGATTTTCTACCCCAAATTTTCCTTCCCTTAGTACTTCTCTGTATATTTTCTTGGCTGACATAGTTTGTAGAATAAACTCATTCTATAATTCTGGACACCTTTACAATCCCAGGAGTGATTGTTTTTTGGTGTAGACACATCTGTAATTTGTGGACTTTCTCAGGGTGTAGGAGGAGCTAGTTAAGGAGGTGTTCTCTTACCTGATAACAGCCATATCATGCTGCCTGCCAAGAAGGAGATGGGATGATGGTGCTGTGTTCTGGGAGCTGAGGTGGCAAGGGACAGCTGGCCTTGCTGTGTCCTTCCCTGGGCTGAGGGAGTGGTGCAGACAGAGCAGAGGAAGAGGCAGCCTCTGATCCCTCTCCCTGCACTTCTCACATTCTCCAACCCCTTCAAGGTCCATGATACCTCCCCGGCTGCCTTTCCCCTTCCTCTGTTCATCCTCTCCAGCCCACTCTCTTTCCTGAGTCCTATTTGTGTTTCTCTTTCAGTGACTCCAGTTCTGCAATTCATTGCTAAGTCCCCATGTTCCTCTACCCTCTCAGAAATCCCATTTATCAGGCTGTTATCCAGATTACCATAGTACTGCATGAACGCCTCCTTTCCAGCATCGGCCAATTCACCCTTCCCTCCCAATCAGCCCCACCCCAATCCAATCAATGTTTCCATTTCTTATGTCATGGGCACAACTTTATCCATTACAGCATTTTTGTACTAACAAAAATATTGGTAATCAAGTGGAATATCAATAGGTGACTGGTTAAATAAGTTGTATTTCATCCATGCAATAAAATACTACACAGCCGTAAAAAGAGGAATTTCTTTCTGCAATGATCAGAAGTAACCTCCAAGCTATACTGTTAAGTGAGAAAAACAAAGTGCATTGAATTTAATATTAAACCTTTTGTGTAAGAAAGGAGTAGAAATATGTGAATATTCATTTTACTTCTGTTTACTTGTGGAAGGCATCATAAGACTTACAAGTGATTACCTGTGCAATTGTGGCAATGGGAATGGGCAGGTAGGGCAGGGCAGGTAGCAGGACTTTTCACTGTATGCCTTCTAATATTATTTTTATTTTTGCAGCCATGTTTGTGTATTGTCTATGAAAAATTAAAATAATCTAATTTCTTTTATGTGTCATAGTGAATGTATTAATTCAACTTCCCATCCTTCAATGATACAGGAATACCTGCTTATTTATACACATATATTTCCCAAACTGGGTAGATATTTAGTAAGTGGAGCCTTGTGTTAAATCAAAATATTTTGATTTATTTCAAAATATTTCTAGAGCTTAACATAGAAGCTGGGAGCTTAAGAAGAACATCAGGAGACAGAGATGTGTGTAAGTATGACTATACACTTTCCTTAACTTAAGGCCTAGGTTGATATGTCTGATAGGAAAAACAAATATTACTCTGAGCAGAAGAAAAGAGGCTGCCTCATTCTAAGGCAGTTTGCTCTGACACAGTATGTACCTTATCTGTTTACTAGGTACCAAAATTCAGAGAGAGCTATCCATCTGGACCTCCATACTCCAAAGCAGCATACTCTGGTAGCTATAAACTGCAGAGGCTCAATGTCTAAACTCTCTTATCTCCAACTCTCAGGGTAATAGCTTCTTACATACTAAATATTTCTCCCTGCTTCCTGAAATTAGTTACAGAAATACTTGTTTTTTTATGTATAATACAAACAATAACAATGGTATTAACAACCATTATTTCATGTTATGCCTGTCAAGTGCACCTCTCACATCTGGCCCTAGAGCTTCCCTGTTGATTTCACCAATGACCCTCTTGGCATCCAAGCCTGTGCATGGACAATGCAGAAATTCTGGGGAGTTACTCTCTTGTTGGATAAACTTTGACCAATGAAAGTGGAAGCTGAGAGATAATTCTTTCCCTTTTACCCTCAGAAAGACAGTCCTGAGACACAGTTCATAGGTCCTCTCAGGCACATAGTCCCAAAGATCAAGCAATTAGATGCACTTGGTGGCAGCAAGCTTGATAATGACCTTTTTAAAAGTGGAAGCTGAGAGATAATTCTTTCCCTTTTACCCTCAGAAAGACAGTCCTGAGACACAGTTCATAGGTCCTCTCAGGCACGTAGTCCCAAAGATCAAGCAATTAGATGCACTTGGTGGCAGCAAGCTTGATAATGACCTTTTTATCGCTTTTACAGGCTTCAGGGCCTCTCACCCTTTGTCACTTATCCTGCTCTCATGGAAAGTATTCCCTAATGGAGTAATAGCTCATAAGTCCTTGGCCTCCTGGGGAACCCAAGTTAAGAAAGACTGCTTAAATCTGGCACTTACTTTTTACTACAAAACAAAGAAGAACTTATTTAAATCACAAAACAACTCTATAGGGTAATTATTATTATTATTCAAGAAACTGTGGCTCAGAGATGGTAATTGGCTCTGTATGACCAAGATCACATTGTTACTATGTAGGGGCCTGAGTTTACACCTAGGCAATCTGGCTCCAGAGTTCATTCTCTTAACCACTATTCTAAATAAGCTGTACTGCGAAATTATGCAATGCTAGTTGTATATCTTTATCTGAACTACTTGTTACTCATTTTTATCAGTTAGTATAGGCTAGATTATATCATGGTAAAAAACAACAAAATCTTTGTGGCTCAAAACTACAAATATTTATATTTGCTTCCATTATTTATCTTCTGTGAGTCAGTTGCCCCTCTGCTCCCGTGTTCTTTATTATAGTTCAGGCTAATGGGGCAGCCCCTAACTGGAGGTTGGTCTTGAGATAGTGGGGAAAGAGAATGATGAATCATGGCCAGATTTCACTGGACAAAGCAAGAGACCTAGATACCTACTTATAATTAATTTAAGGAGGGGAAAAGTTGGATAGAACATTGATTTCAATCCTAAGTTTTAAAAACTTGGCACTTGGAAAAACTGGATATCCACAAGCAAAAGACTGTATTTGGACCCTTGCCTTACACCATATACAAAAATTACCTTGAAATGAATCAAAGGCCTAAATGTAAGACCTAAAACAATAAAAACTCTTAGAAGAAAACATAGGGCAAAAGTTCACAAAATTGGATTTGGCAATGATTTTGTGGATATGACACCAAAAGCACAGGCAACAACAACAACAAAATAGATAAATTGGATTTCATCAAAATTAAAATATTTTGTGCATCGGGACACTATCACAAGTGAAAAGGCAACCCATGGAATGGAGGGAATATTTGCAAATCTTATATCTGATAAGAGACTTGTATCCAGAATATATAGAGAATATTTATAACTCAATATTAAAGAGACAACCCAATTTAAAAATGGTCAAAGCATCTGAATAAGTATTTATCCAAGGAAGATATAAAAATGAGCAATAAGCACAAGAAAAGTTGCTCGATATCATTAATCAGTGAAATGCAAATCAGAGCCACAAGGGGCTATCACAATAAGATAACCAGTAGGATAACTAGAATCAAAAGTTAGGTAATAACAAATGTTGGCAAAGATATGGGAAAAAGAATGAAATCCTATACAACACTGATGGGAAGGTATAATGGTGCAGCCGTTTTGGAAAAATTGACAGTTCCTAAAACAGGTTGTCATAGACTTGCCATATGATCCAGCAATTCCATTCCTAGGTATGTACTCATGAGAAGTAAATGCACACAACCATGCAAAAACTTGTTCATGAATGTTTATAGTGGCGTTATTCATAATAGCCAAAAGATGGAAACCACCTAAGTGCCCATCAGCCGATGAAACAATGGAATATTATTCAGCCATAAAAAAGTAATACTGATACATGCCAGAACATGGATAAACCTTGAAACCATGATGCTAAGTGAAAGAAGCCAGTCACAAAAAGCAACATATGATACGATTCTATTCATGTGAATGTCCAGAACAGGGAAATCTATAGAGATAAAAAGTAAACTAGTGGCTGCTAAGGGCTGAGGAGAATGCAGGGATAGGGTGTGCTGTGGATTGATTGAATTGTGTTCCTAAAGTTCATACAGCAGAAGCTTCATTTGCACTGTAACTGTTGAGGATGGGAAATCCTATTATGGTAACTGAAAGGTGGGGCCTTGAAGAGGTAATTAGATTGTAGGTCCGTGCTATAGTGAATGGATTAATAATGGTGGTCAGGAGTGTGGTTCTAGGGCTTTAAAAGAAGAGCTCATGAGAGGTTAGTATCCGCTGCACCATTTCATGATGTGATACCCAGGCATCACTGAGTTAGCACCAAAGAAAGCCTTCACCAGATGTGTTCTCTGGACTTCCAGCCTCTGAAACTGTAAGCAATACATTTTATTTTCTTATTAATTTCCCAGTTCCAAGGATTTTTGTTATAAGCAACAGAAATGGACCTGTTCTCTGGACTTCCAGCCTCTGAAACTGTAAGCAATAAATTTTATTTTCTTATTAATTTCCCAGTTCCAAGGATTTTTGTTATAAGCAACAGAAATGGACTAATACAGGGTGGTGATCACTAAAGAATACGGGCTTTTTTCTTGAAGTGGTGGTTGCAAATATCTCTGACTATTCCCCAAACCATTGAATTGTACATTTTAAATGGGTAAATTTTACCGTATGTGAATTATGTCTCAATAAAGCTATTACAAATAGATAGTATGTTAGGTCGTGGGAAAGTGTTGTAAAGAAAAGTGAAATAGGAATGAAAGGGAATATCTGTTGGGGGAATGTTGAAATTTTAAGTGGGTTGTCAGGGAAAGCTTGGGAGAGGTAAGGTAGTGAGACATCTGGACATTTATTAAAGGACCTTTCAGGCATAGTGAACAATATGTTGAGAGATCCTAGGGAAGGCGTAGTAGGCCAAGGTGCTGGAATAGAGTGAGCAAAGGAGAATGTGAGAGAAAATGAAATCAGAGGGGAAATTGGAATGTAGATCATGTGGAGCATTGTAAGCCTTGTAAAGGGTTTTGCTTTTTCTAGGATTGAGTTGGAAAATCATTGCAGGGTGCTGCAAAAGAGTGAAAGAAACGGTCTAGTGTTTTACAATATTATTCTGATTGTTGGGTGGACTGTAGACTAAAGGATAGTAAGGAGAGGAGGAGACCAGTTAGGAGATTTTATCAGTTAGCTTTTGCTATACATGAGGCAACCACAAAACTCCAGTGGCATATGCAAATAAGTTTTTATTTTCATGCAATATGGTTTCAGCAGATTTAGGTAGGCTCAGCTGGTGGTTCTGCTGATCTCAGGTGGGTTTGTCCATGAGTCTAAGAGTTAGATGGGGTGGGCTGACCTTTGGAGACATGGGAAGCATGGCTTTGATCTCCATGTGGCTTGGCCACAGAACTTTTGAGGTACCCTTCTCTGACTTGGGAATAAATACGTAAACAAGTTCTGAGAAACTCAATGGCTTGCCTACATTCAGCTTCAAGCAAATTGAAAAGCTACTTCTTGGATGAAGATTTCAATTCAAATCCTCCACAAAATGCTTTTACTAATGCTTATGCCACTGAGATACATAAAGGGGATTTTATTTAATATGTACATGAATTTCATGAGATGAGTGTTCCTACTACCCCATTTTGTAGGTGAGAAAACTAAGACACAGAAAGAGTAAGAAATCTGTACAGATTTACATAGCATATTAGAATCAAAGCCAAAAACTCAAACCCAATGGTTTCCTAAATTTTCATTGCTTTTAAAAAAAATACCATTGCTGCCTCATAAAAACCACATTTATCTTCCCTTCTAAGCATTCATCAACCCTCCCTAGTAATGAACTTCAACCAAAGTCCACATATTCCCTACTAACTCCCCATTCCCATCCCAGCCCACTGGGCTTCTTTTAGAACTGACACAGAAGTGCCTTCTCATCTTGGAGGGAATTTTAGCTGTCTACTAGTGATTTCTAGATGTCCATATTTTCTAACTATAAAACTCTGCAATTATTCTGTCATGAAGTAGGCAGTGTGGCAGCTACAGTTCTCTATCCTCCAAGCAGAAGGACTGCAGTTTCATTTCTGTTTTCTGAGTCCTGGGGCTTACCTGTGGTTAGAGTTCTGATGATTCTTTTCTCCTTCATAGACTCAGCCCCCTCGCCCCGCCCAACTGTGGCATTTGTTCTTGGCTAACACCATCCGAGGACGTTCTCCGTGGGGTCCTAATGTACTTCCAATACCCACCCCGCCCCCAACACGGAGTATTTCTGGTAACCCCCTTTGAGCAAATTCTAATTCCTAACGTGATATCTCATTTTTGAAAATTGTAAGTGGTCACGCTAATGAACCAAAAGTTATAAAACCTAGGAACTTATGAACAGAACGTAATGTCATAATAAATAGTAAAATTTACACCGACTTAGTCTGACATGCATATGATGGTATACACAATCATTGTTGTGGGTTCGTTGTTATTAGACACAAATGGTAAGCAGTTAACTTAGTTTTGCATAGTCTTCCATTATGGTTTAATTCTTGTTACTCAAAACACGCCAGGCATCTCTTTTGTTTCTTTCATGCACTGAGGAAGCTATGTAGCTGACGTCTTGTGAGCGTAGCGAACAGCCAGATGTCCCAAGACTTTTCTGCCTTTTCCTTGCCTTCCTTCTCTGCTTTTCCCTTTCTCTTGTATACTTACTCCTGGCCTCCACCCAAAGTTTCCTTGAGCAGCCTCCTCCTTTTCTACTCCTTGGTTAGCTGGGCCAGTCCTGGTTATGTGTGTGCAAGGATTCTCTGGGCCAGGAGGCTATCCCTGGTAGCAAGGTCTCTCTAGAACTGAAGGGAGAAATATGTTGTAACTACTGAGGCCTAAGAGACAATTCCTAATTCTTAAAATATATTAATTTGACAAACATGGTCAGGTAATCAAAACCTGCACAGTGAAGAGAATCTGCTTACCCAAATTTTGGTTGCAAAGAAGTTATATATATGACAATGGAGATTCAGAAAGACAGGAAACATTTTTTAGCTTTAGCATCTCTTCAGGGGTTTGTTAAAGAACAGAGATCTGGTTTGATTCATCCCCTTGGCTGTCTGTTTTTTATAAGGAGTCTCTAAGAAGATTCCTTCTTTGCCCAGACCCCCTTCCATTCCCATAAACAACATTCTTTCTGCTCCAAGAAAAGCTCTAGGAGCTCTCCCCAGGGCCTGGCCTCAGCTCAGAGACTGAAGGGCCTCTGCTTTCCAACTTTGGGGAAGGGGAAGGGCGGTTGTGGTGGACATATGAATGGGGGTCTGTTGGACACAGAGGGGAGGCCACAGAAGCTGAGCATACCCTTCAGCCCATGCTACTCTCTAAATAATGTTCACACCCTCTCAGTCTGCAGTTTCTTTCTGGTGGTACAATCATGGGGCCTGAGGATGAAACATACTCTGTCGATCGGGTAAACTCTGTCGATCGGCCAGGAATACTCAGTTCGATAGAAACAGAACTCATCTCTATACCAACTGACAGTCCATGAAGTTGACCCAGTCTCCTGGAGATGGCCAGCATCCAGTCCTCCAGAGCAGAATCTGAAAGCTCATTTCCCCAAACGGGCATTGACTTATACTGGTGGACAGAGAGATAAAAGAATCATTGATGGGACAACGTGTGTGAATCTGAAAAGTCTCTGGTGTGACCCACAGGAAATGTGGCTCGGAATGGGGAGTGTGCCCCA